TAGACTATGTGTCTGTGTGCGTGTTAGACTATGTGTCTGTGTGCGTGTTAGACTATGTGTCTGTGTGCGTGTTAGACTATGTGTCTGTGTGCGTGTTAGACTATGTGTCTGTGTGCGTGTTAGACTGTGTCTGTGTGCGTGTTAGACTCGTGGTCTGTGTGCGTGTTAGACTGTGTCTGTGTGCGTGTTAGACTATGTGTCTGTGTGCGTGTTAGACTGTGTCTGTGTGCGTGTTAGACTGTGTCTGTGTGCGTGTTAGACTATGTGTCTGTGTGCGTGTTAGACTATGTGTCTGTGTGCGTGTTAGACTGTGTCTGTGTGCGTGTTAGACTATGTGTCTGTGTGCGTGTTAGACTGTGTCTGTGTGCGTGTTAGACTCGTGGTCTGTGTGCGTGTTAGACTATGTGTCTGTGTGCGTGTTAGACTATGTGTCTGTGTGCGTGTTAGACTCGTGGTCTGTGTGCGTGTTAGACTGTGTCTGTGTGCGGTTAGACTCGTGGTCTTGGTGCGTGTTTAGACTATGTGTCTGTGTGCGTGTTAGACTGTGTCTGTGTGGCGCGAGTGAGAATTGGCGGATCCATCTGTGCGGATTCCGCCGGGGATTCTGGGGGACGAGGATTGGAGAGAATGGCGGCGATAATGAACACAAAACCAACCAACGTCGTCATCATCCTCAACATCATCATCATCAACATCGTCGTCGTCACCAACACTATCATTAAATGCATTTGCTTAAAAGGTACTTAAAGTAAAATATCTCCATCATAATTATTATAATTCATTAATCGTATTATTTATCATTCGTCAATAATATGAACTCTTTTAAATACCGTGCCACCACCACCGCACCACCGCCACCACCACCCACACCACCATATTCACGTTGCCGTGAGCCTCACTTCCATTGCACCCAGCCCCCCCCCCGCCCCGCGCTCTGGTGTGTGTCTCACACGCGGCTGGTGTCATCTGCCAATCAATAAGCCTCTGTGCCCGGGAGTGTCGGCACGAGCTACCACTCAACCACCCACCCACCACAGCAACCACCCACCACATCAACCACCCACCCACCACAGCAACCACCCACCACATCAACCACCCACCCATCCACCACAGCAACCACCCCACCACAGCAACCACCCACCACATCAACCACCCACCCACCACAGCAACCACCCCACCACCACAGCAACCACCCACCAACCACATCAACCACCCACCAACAACCCAGCCACATCAACCACCCACCCACCACATCAACCACCCACCTCACCACATCAACCACCCACCAACAACCCAGCCACGTCAACCACATCAACCACCCACCCACCCACCCACCACATCAACCACCACACATCAACCACCACCACATCAACCACCCACCAACAACCCAGCAACATCAACCAACCACCCACCACATCAACCACCCACCAACAACCCAGCAACATCAACCAACCACCCACCACATCAACCACCCACCAACAACCCAGCAACATCAACCAACCACCCACCACATCAACCAGTCAATTTAGCCACCCACCCACCACCCACCCACTACCCACCCACTACCCACTACCCACCCACCACCCACCACCCCCCCACTACCCCCCACCACCGGCTGACGCTTCTCTAGGCCGCACCGAGTTGAGAGCCACCAAGCGGCATCACCGCCGCCTCGGGTCGGGCTCACAAGGGGGGGGCACGGGGGGGGCACGGGGGGGGGCTGTGAGTTGGGGGGGGCTGTGAGTTGGGGGGGGGGCTGCGAGTTGGGGGGGGGGGGCTGCGAGTTCCACCGCCTAATTGGTCGACCGTTCGAATCATCCATCCAATCGCGAGCCGCGTATATCCCATCCGTGGGCAATTGACTATTTATTACCCCACCACCACCACCACCACTCACCACCACCACCAACAACCATCACAACCATCCCCAGATCAACAACCCCCACCCACCACCAACCACCCCATCAACAACCCGAATCAAGGAGAACCCGTATTAACAAGCCATACTATCAGCCACCGCCACCACCACCACCCCTACCAACAACCACCCACAGCATCAGCAATCGGCATCAACAACCCCGGGGCCATACCGAGCCAGGCTGTTTTTTTTCCACTACACAAGCCGAGCCGTGCCAGGGCCATACTGAGCCGGCCTGGCTCGGTATGGCCCGTGAGGCCAGCGTAGCACGGTTTGGTTCTGGTTCGGCTCTCGGCTCGGGTTTGCCAGTGGAAAAGGCTCCATCTGACATCTCGTGAGGCCAGCGTAGCACGGTTTGGTTCTGGCTCAGCTCGAGTTTGCCAGTGGAAAAGGCTCCATCTGATATCTCGTGAGGCCAGCGTAGCACGGTTTGGCTCTGGCTCAGCTCGAGTTTGCCAGTGGAAAAGGCTCCATCTGATATCTCGTGAGGCCAGCGTAGCACGGTTTGGCTCTGGCTCAGCTCGAGTTTGCCAGTGGAAAAGGCTCCATCTGATATCTCGTGAGGCCAGCGTAGCACG